AAGTTGACTGTACTTATAATCCTAATCATCACTCATGCAAAACTGAAGGGTTAAATTCACATCAAAAGACAACATTAGTAATCAGATAAATACGTCCAAGACGGAAGGAATAAATAGACTGACCAAAGTGAACAAAACAGCGATTGAGGGGGTTGCACAGTGTACCAGTGGGTCGATGCATTTTAAAGGGGGAAAACATTCAGGCCGCGAATGTTGTCCGAGAACATAGGGAACTAAGTTATCAGTGTCCCCACATGCAAAGGTGAAACCTCACTAAAATGGTCTAGGGTAAAACGTGGATCAGGTGAAAAAACTATATCCAGGAGTTATGCTGCCCTCTATGTGGGAGCTTGAGCTTTTCCTTCTGACTTAACAGGACCCTTGAATACAGTGGTCATGAAAATTTACTGGTAAATTGTGGCTGCCGGCAAACTTGGTGCAAAACTCTTGTACTGTCAGTTCTTTTCTCTCTTCTCTTCTTTTCTATTCACTTGGTGCACGGGGGGTAACTGCGCCGACACCCACGGTCAACTGGGTACTCACAGCTCGGAGTGAGGATAGCAAGGATTCAGTTTACAGGGTTATTGGCCGTTAAACACCCGATTGGTTGAGAGACTCACCTCCTCTCCCCTGACTCACTTGTGAGGTCTGCATTCGCCATTAAGGTGTAAAGGCATAGTGGTGGCCTGCGGATGCGAAGGCTATAGCTTGTGTGTTTCTGAACATTCATGTGATGCTAACGCGGATCCCGCGAATATTATGCACTGGGCATATAATACGGTGAAGACCTCATGTTGACTAAGTGAGCTCAGCTCATCATCCTGACACTCCTCCATGTATCAAAAATTATTATCATAAGGTGATTGGAGTGGTGAAGATCGTAAGAAAAATTAGAAATCAGATATCACCCACTTTGGTAACGATGGTGCATGCTCTGTTTTTTGTCGCAGCGAACACGTACTGGTTGCGAGATCACAATGGGCAGACGGATAGGATCTGGTCTCGTTTATGCCACCAGTTGTGGCCAATGAATCTTTGTTTACTGCCCAAGCACCGTCAAAGCGACATTCACATGAAATTGACACAAGGTTCTAGATTTCAATTCAGGACAAAAGCTCAATTCAAACCCAGTGGAACGTGTGGTGTTAGATTGTGCGAAAATCGAGAACTTCTACTTTCTCTCATTTATCCCAAAATCTCAGTTTAGAGCGTTTCTACGCAACAGTACTTGAAAACTGCCGAACTCATACCTATTCCTATATTGGGTAATCTTAAATCTCGCGCGTCTACGTAATCTGGCAAAAGCGGAGTTCAAACAAACTACAAGTCCTTGATGGGACATAGCTGAAACATAATACATCATGCACACTCCTTTTTTTTAAACAAAATAAGTCTCTTGTACGGGCAAAGCAAATTTGCTTACATAATATGACAGAAAATCTCAATACCAAAAAAAGTAACAAAACGTCAAGAATCTGAAGAAAGAAAAAACTCAATCCAGTTCTTTGTTGCCATAACGGGAAACTAAAACATAACACAAATCTGAGAAGATGGCAGTTGGTGGTCACTCTGCAACAAAATCACCAAACGTAAGCACTAAAAATGTTGAAACATGGTTGCAGGAGACAAACTACAAGTAAGCAAGCAACGCATACAAATAAACAATCAGACAATTAAAACACGTTTAATACCGTCTAGGCCAACATTCGGTCGACACATAACGCCTTTTCGCCGTAGGATATGTTCTCCACAAGAGGAGGGCATGCAAGGACACACTTCCCATGTTACAATAAAATATGTACTAAAAGCTTGTTAAATTGACTTTCATAAATAGGTAACGTAAGGTTGTGATGTAAAACTACGAGCTGTAGAAAAAGAGAGAAAGCCTTGATAGAATGGATTCAGTTCACGCCTAGACAATATTCCATATGATTAAACTGCAAAATTAAACATGAGAAGTATTGGTCACAAGGATTGCAATAAGCAGACCGCGGTGACGCGTCGTTACGCGCAAGCTATGCGACTTTCATGTCGTGGAATGTCTCAGTACTCTTGGTCCGCTTTGTGCTAGATTGTGCACGTCTGACGATTCAAAACCTGGTTTAGTTGGTGGACTCGATCGCATAACTTGTGCCCACATTTTTCAATGTTACAATTTTTCTTCCTTGGCTCACCATCTGAGTTCCTTATTCTCGGTATATCTCATCATTTTCT